GGGGGGGGGGGGGGGGGGGGCGAATGGTTCCGGGGTTGATGCAAGGGCTTCTGCGGGGTGTAGGGCTTGAAAGTTTAGTTGAGGGTTTGCGGCTTGGGGTCTTGGGGTGTGGTGTTTTAGGCTAAAGGGTCCACTATTTCATTGCTTGGGGCTTAAACTTTAGAGTTTGAGTTTGGGGCTTGGGAGTTTCGGGTTGAAGATCCAGTAAGACCTACGGAAGTCCAGCTTTTAGGGCTTAAGGTTTACGGTTTATGGTTTAGGGTTTCGGGTTTAGTTATCGGGCTTAGGAGCTACCAGGGCTGAGGGTGACGGCGTGGGATGTGCGGCGGAAGCCTGCAGTTTGGGGCCATGGAGCAGATTATCGCAATGACGATGATATGGGAGTTTCCGAAAGAGGTACCTTATTTGGGGGTCCTCATAATTATATAGTATCCTACTATTTAGGGTACTATATTAGGGTCCCCTATTTTCGGAAATGCCCATATCACGCATGAGAGAATAAATGCAGCAGTGGTAGCAGTATTCATGTTAATCATCGGCAAAACATGAACGGTGATTCCGCCATTGGCGCTTTGAGTGGCTGTGCTACAACTGATCTGCCTTAACCACCTGTGTAATTTCACTCCGGTTTGGGGTTCTGGAGAATCGCCTCTAAGGCAACACCAAACCCCAAACCCCGAATCCTCGCCTAAAAGCTCTAAACTTTAGGCTCTTGAGGTTTAGGGTTTTGGGGTTTAGGGTCCTGCGGTTCAGGTTTTAAGCCTCAGCCGTAAACCCTAAACCGCTCGACCTCAGGGGTGTTGGGCCCTAAACCCTAAACCCTAAACCCTAAAACCTAAATGGGGTTCCTCAGCCTGGTTTGGGGCATCTCTGTGTCGATTTCCGGGGCCCCCACCAGGCGGCCAGAGCGAGGAAGTTGCTGCCACCGAGGATGTCGTAAAAGACCTCTCCCGAGGTTCTCGGCTTTGGGTTTTAGGGGTCAGGGATTGAAATTCAGGGTTTGAGGGTGTAGCGCCAGAATTTCAGTAGGGTTTTGAGTTCAGGGATACGGGCCTGAAGTCAAGTGTAGGGCTTAGGGACATTTTGTGCACCATGCTATACATTTTGTATATCCTACTATAGTTTATTATAGTCTACGATATCATATTCTTTTTGAGGTAGAATCACGCTGACGCCTTTGGGCCCAGGGCTAAGTCCTGAGGCCGGGAAAGCTCTGCAATTTGGCATACTGAATAACAACAGAAGAAGGGTAGATGCTAATATTCCCTGACATAGCAAAGAAGAGAAGATACTATGGAATAGTGGAGTAGAACAGAGCGCTGCAGAAGATGGTATAGGATAACAAATACGCTGCGACATAGAGTAAATATTGAGTCTTGTGCAGGTGTCAGACGTCAGACGTCCAACTTCTGGGATTCGGGGATGCCCCTTTATGATTCTGTATGAAATCACAGAATATAAGATAATACAACATAACATGATATAACAAAGTATAGTATGATGCTATATAACATGACAGTATTATCTTATATTATATGGCTTGGAGTTTCATCATCCGCCTCGGTCTGAAGCGCAAATGCCACAGCAAATCCTGCGTGGAACAGGGGTGGCCCAGTCGGACCGCGCGGATTGCGGAGCCAACGCAACACTATAAACCCTAAACCCTAAACCCTAAACCCTAAACCCTAAACCTAAACTCCCAACCCAAATCCGGAACCCTGAACGCTGAACCCTTAACCCTGAACCCTTAAATCCCCTAAACCCTGAACCCAAAATCTCGAGCCCAAACCCGGGCGGTGAAACACCAAGAGCTGCTCCTGAAAGCTGGATCAGAGCTGTGAGGGCAACGGAGACGGCATAGACGAGTGCTTGCGACATGGCTACTTAGTTGTAAAGGCTTGAAGCCTCAACGGCAGAGGCAGAACGGCTTCCGATTCTCCGCGACCGCCTGCTTCAGAAAGCAGGAAATCTCTTCCCGGCCTGCACGCCCGAGCAACTCAGCAGGCTGGCGACAGAACTTTGAAGATCTTACGGAGTGTCTGCTGCCTGATCTGTTAAGCTGGTTCAACCGCTACAATTCCCGATAGTTCACGAATATCATGGTGACCTGAATAACACAACGGGTATAAGATCATCGCAACGACTACCAAGGAAATGTCACATTCCGCTGCCAGTAATAAGGCACACTTTCCTGGTGATACCAATAGAGCATGTAATGCAATCAAACTTTCGTGAACGCCCACCTGCAGATTGCAGCATAAACATGGGCTTCCATGCCACTGACACACACACAGACACACACACACACACACGCGCGCACGCACACCCAAACACACACACACACACCCATACGACAGCAGAGTCAAGCCACGCCGGCGAGTTTCGTCTAAGCAGACAAGCATGCGTTGAGTGGATGGGGTCTGGATGGCGCCCAGCTCAAGCACCTTCACTGAGCATCGGGGCTGCTTTGCTGAGGCGATCAGCAATCAGCGTCAAACAGATGGTCTCAGTCGTCGCGATTCCGACGATCGACTGCATCCTCCTCCTTCTCATCTCCTCCAGCGTTCGCTGACCTCACACTCTTGATTTTCAAGGTCTTCTTCCAAGCAGAGATCTCACTATCTGCTGCTGCCTCAGTTAACGCAACTAACTCATTCTTGTTGGACGGCATTCTCCGCTCCACCATGGACAAGCTCTGCCACCAGAAGTGAAGGTTCTTCAGAGACTCCAGCGATTGATTTACATTGCGGAGCTGCGATGATAAAGCCTCAAACTCCAGAATGCCAGTAAGGAAGAAAATGAAAGACACCACAACGGGTATCCATGTATCAAAGCCAAGCGGGCCTGCAGCGGCAAGCACCCCTGTCAAGAAAAAGACTGTCACCTGAATAGCTTGCACCATTCTGGAAAGAACTCGGCTGCGCCAAGTGTAGTACTGCAGCATGGGCAAGAAACGAAAGTGGATGTAGTCCTCGGCTGTGACCAATGCTAAACCGTCGTCCTTTAAAAAGTCATCCTCGATAACGTTGGGATTTTGATAAAAGTCACCACCGGCTTTGCTCCATGGATTGTCTGTCTCACTAAATTCTGCATGATCCTGACGACTTGAACAGTGGCAGAAATTATGAAGCATCTGCCAGCAGCAAGCGCGGTAGGAGCTGTTGCGCATCTGATAGGACTCGCAAACACGGTTCCAGTCATACAGTTTCGCAAGGAGGTCGTTCATGGCATAACTTGGCGGAGGTAATCAGACCCAATATCCGAGCCAACAGCATCGGAGTTGATCTGCTCTAAAGTTGCTGCGAAGGCACCTCGCCTACTCATCTTGTTTGCCACAGATGCTTTGGCTTTATTTCCAGAAGAAGACGCAGCAGCGGCATCATCTGCCGCGCCACCAAGCGGGTGATCACACAGATCCGCGACGCGATCTTCAATATCCATGTTGCTGGCTTTGCGGGGCTGATAGTCCAGCACACGACACCGATACTGATAGATCTCACTCTTCATGTGCACAGACCCGCTTTCCAAAGCAGCCCACTTGTTTACCGGGCTCAGACGACTAATGGAGCTCAGAACGAATGCGCTGACACAGGGCAACACAAGCAAAGCTACTTTAAGGTCTGCTTCTTGCAAGGGCCCGTCTGCTGCTTTCTTGCTTTCTTGATAAAGGACAGCGACAACGGTCACGATGACCGAAAGCAGCATGGCGATGTAGTTCAAAAATCTGGCTGTCCGTCGGAAGATAGCTGCGTTGTGGGCAAACAACAAATGCTGCTCCCAGGCATAGCGCAGTCGATTCTCTTCACTCTTGGCGAAGCCAACTTCCATCATTTCATCATCTTGAACAGTGGACAGCACGAGAATCAGTTTGTTGATGACTTTTTCGACAGAGTCTTTGGCAGGATTCAAAATGAGGAACTGGTCATCAGGGACATGCTCAGGTAGCTCATAGTTATACCCAAATTTATCCAGGTGAAGTGTTTGCTTCAGCACAGAAGCTCCCAGCATCTCAGCTGCACCACCTGGCAACATGCTGCGTTTGGGGATCCCCGCGGAGCATAGTCGAATCCTAATTGTATTAGACAAGCATGCCATGTGAGCCTACATGACTATCGGAAACAGCAGCCTGTGTTGTGAAGACAGACCACTGGAACACCAGCCATTGCTTCCATCAAAATCTTCCCGTCAACACCTGGCTGGATGAGGGATGCGTTGCCATTTGCAAAAATGGTTGCACGCGTGGCCAAAGAGCGAAGCTTGCTTCGGAGCCTGTCCAGTGTTTGCTGGTTCTGCACAAAAATTATGTGCGTGAGGGCATTGCAGAGAAATCGTTGTGATATATGCGCACGAACCTCTTGATCCAAGCGCAACGTGCTGTTGCAACTTTCAGCAGTATCTGGCTCGCCGAAGCCACTCAGGTCTTGTTCGTCGGCCGTGTCATCGGTTTCTCTTCCGAGCTCAGGGAATAGTTTCTCGTTCACGGATGGATATATGACACGCTTGAGAAGCTTGCCGGAGTCATCCGATGCCGAAGTAGATACGGAGCACTCAAGGAACTGATCCTTGAATTCCGTATCATGTAGAAAGCGGACGCAGAACACAACAGATCCATCTTTGTGGCCAGCAAGGCAGCCAAAAGCAGATCAGTAGACTTTCAGCCCATCCATCAAGACTTCATTCAAGCCTCCTCGTTGGCCCCTGCCCAGATCAAACCATCCTCCGCACTCTGTAACATTGGCAAACACCCGCGGAAATCTCTGCCAGTCTACTGGTAAACTTGTTCCTGAACTCAAAATCTGCCATCGTAGGCAGAGGCCGTCCAATCGAATCTGCCCTCTTCCTTCGAGGCAGCGGCTCCTTGGGATCCTGTGAGGACTGCGATCTGTGACTCGTGTCCTCCTCGGCCTCCTTCTGATGGTTGTCAGCTTCCCCGCCGTCGGCGCTGGAGCCACCCTCTGACAGGAAGCTTGCTGTGTCCATGCGAACTCAGCAGAGGACTGCAAGGCCTTTCCATGCTGCCGGCTGCATCAAGCTTCCGTGGCTTCAGTGGCTAGGCGGCGGTTCGCTTCAGACCCTCAATCTTCGCGGAAATCTTTACAGGCTTGAGGGTTTAGGACTTCGGGGTAGGGTTTGCGAGCTTGAATCAAATCTTAACCTACTAAGCCCCAAAACCCAGGCTTTAAACGTTACTCTTAAGCATTCAGCTCGAAGCCTTGAAGCGACATTCCCAAACGGATCCCTTGCGCAAACTGGGCATATGCTGCAGAACAAAAGACGATGCTCAGAGGACAAAATGCTCTCGGAGCTGAGTGGTGTTTGGCTGGAGTCCTGTTCTGCAGTGCAGCTCACTCTCTGCCCGTGGCATGTTTTGCAAGCGATATCCAGCGAAGCAATGAGACATCTCAGAAGAAGATCCCTGGTCCAGTCTCTCTTTGGTGGACTGCTTGGGCTTTCATGGGGCTTTGTAAGTAAACATATGAAGGCATCAGTGTTGCCAGTAGCTCAACATTAATGGCATGCAAGACAGCCAACAGCCAAACCCACACACACCAGGTCAGGGAGGATGGGATGGGAAGCCACACAAAGAGGCATCGAAATTATCTTTTCGCTGACGAAGGAACCTCTGGCTCTGGTTCACATCGCCCCCCCTTTCACATGGGGGGTTTCCGAAAATAAGGTACCCTAATCAATATAATACCCTAAATAGTAGGATCCTTATTATAACCACCCCCGAATAAGGTACCCCTTATTTTCGGAAACCTCCACATGGACAAGCTCTTGCAGTACTCCTCAACTCACATCTGCGGAGTCAAGAGGAACCTGAAGACACACCTGGGCACTGCTGGCATCATTGAGCCAATGATGAGAAGCAGTAGGTACCAAGCTGATGATGATGCCCAACGGCCCAAGGTGATGATGTTGGCGTTGATGTTGTTGTTGATGTGGATTTAAGCGATGAGGTAGGTGCTCGGAAAGAGGGAAGAGAGGAGGAGCGGAAACTGGATGAGTATGCCAACAAGATGCATCATCCCGATGGTGATAACGATACTGAACAAATCTGCACACGGTGGTGCTGATGACGAAGAAGATGGTAATGACTATGCTGCTGCAGGGCTTAAGCTTTCGCCTCTTTTGCTGTTGCCACACATGAGCTTCAGCTTAAGCCTGACACAAATCCCACAGTCCGAACCTCAAAACACCGAACCAGAAAGCTGCCAAAACCAGTAAGCGAAAAACACAAGCTCCGAAACCGCCAGGAAAGAATCCCAGAAGACCGATGCTTTCTCACCCTAATGGGCGTAAGGTTTCTTAGGGATCTAGAGTCTCAACCTCAATTAACCTTGCCAGGCTCCCGGCATTAGTCGACGCCCCAGAAGCCAAAGAAGTCTGAGTCGGGGCGGGGTGTACATTCGGACGACGAGTATTTGTTTTGACTAACAACCCAGATGGAGAATCTAAGACGTTGTAAATGCCTTCCTACTACGACAACTCTGCTAGGGCCTGGTCCGATGCAAATTGAATCTAGATTTGGCTGCATTCGAAATCGTCGCAGTTGCCCATTAGAGACATCAAAGTCATCTTGGTTTCTTCTCAATCGAAGCTCAACTAGAAACCCTGCTACAACCCGCACACATCCTAAGCTTTTGCTAGGGTGGCATGGGAAACCGGAAAGCTCACTGCTTTCTTGCGGCTCCTTTTGTGAATGTGTGTGTGTGTGCATTGCAACATGTGACCGATCATATCGTCTCCTAGCCAAGCATGCAACCCCGCTACAATGAGGGGTGCGAAGTGTCCACGAGATATTCATCACTGGCGTGTCAGGCAAACGAGTAAAGTAATCCAGGCTCGTGTGTTGAATGACGCGCTCATGGCCGACAAGCACGTCTTCCATGATGTATGTATGTATATATATATATATATGAGTGTATATACACCGTTCATCTCTATGTATATATATATATACAT